GTGAGAGAGACCGAGTGTCTGTGTGTGTGTGTGTGTGTGTGTGTGTGCATGTGTATGTGTGCGTGCGTGTGTGTGTGTGCGTGTGTGTGTGTGTGCGTGTGTGTACACGTGTGTGTGCGTGTGTGTGCGCGTGTGTGTGTGCGCGTGTGTGCGTGTGTGTGTGTGCGTGTGTGTGTGTATGTGTGTACTTGTGTGTGTGTGTGTGCGCGCGTGTGTGTGTGTGAGAGTGTGTATGTGTGTGTGCATGTATGTGTGTGTCAGTCTGTGTGTCTGTGTGTGTGTGAGAGAGACAGAGTGTCTGTGTGTGTAAGTGTGTCTGTGTGTGTGTGAGAGACAGTGTATCTGTCTTTGTTTGTGTCTGTGCGTATGTGTCTGTGTGTGTGTGTGTCTGTGTCTGTGTGTGTGTGTGTGTCTGTGTGTGTGTGTGTGTCAGTGTGTGTGTGTGTGTCTGTGTGTCTGTGCGTGTGTGTCTGTGTGTGTGTGTGTGTGTGTCTGTGTCTGTGTGTGTCAGTGCATGTGTGTGTGTGTGTGTGTGTGTGTGTGTGTCTGTGTGTGTGTGTGTGTGTGTCTGTGTCTGTGTCTGTGTGTGTGTGTGTGTGTGTGTGTGTGTGTCTGTGTCAGTGTGTGTGTGTGTGTGCCTCTGTGTGTGTGTCAGTCTAATTTTCTGAGTGCAAACAGTCTGAAGTGTCCCTCTAAGATGTGATTGCGGGGGCTGTATAGAGAGACACACATTCAGATACAGAACTAACTTCTTTGTTTGCTTCAAAAAACTGCTTCCTTGTTCCAACGTTCCCTCATCTGTGCTCGGAATATTAAAAACCCCCGTCTTTCAGAGCAGTAGCTGCTGTAATCTCGGTAATGTCACAAGATCCTGTGTATCTCCCCACTCCAGTGAAATCGAACAGCGATTTCAGCTGGTTTAATGAAACACTCTCTCTTTCTGTCTCAGGGTCACAAGGAACGAGGGCAGTGTACAGAAAGCCTTCCTCACACTAAAGGGTTAATTCGGAGGAGCCTCCCAGAAACTGTGGAGTGGGTTCAGCAGGAGTTTGAAGGGTCACAATAGCTTTGGGATACAGATAAGTTACAATCTGATGGAATGGTGGGGACAGAGTCAAGGTGTGTTAGCCACGCATGTGTAGGCCTGGGGACTGTTTCTGCCTTGTGGTTACCTTCGTGTCTGCTCTCCAAACAGGGGATAAACCGTTAAAACAGTTTGCGATACTTAACTTCGAGCAATGGCCCACTTTCTGATCATGTCCTTAGCATCTTCCCATGGTGCTTCAGGAGAGTGTCATATCAGACTCTAGTTTGACACAAGTCACAGGAGAAGACATTAGACCAATCAGAATCCTACAGCACGGAGACAGACCCTTTGGTCCATCCAGTCCATACCGACCATAGTCACAAACTAACCCAGCCCCACCTGCCTGCTCCTGCCCTATATCCCTCCAACTCTTTCCTATTCATGTACTTATCCAAATGTCTTTTAAACATTGTAACTGCACCCACATCCACCACTTCCTCAGGAAGTTCATTCCACACACGAACCACGTTCCATGTAAAAAAGTTGCCCCCCCCATGTCCTCTTTAAATCTTTCTCCTGTCACCTTAAAAAACGTGTCCCCTAGTCTTAAAATCCCCATCCAAGGGAAAAGACACCTACTATTAACCCGAACTGTAACCCTTATGGTTTTATAAACCTCTATAAGGTCACCTCTCAATCTCTTATGCTCGAGTGAAAAATGTCCCAGCCTATCCAGCTTTTCCTTATAACTCAAAGCCTCCATTCCCAGCAACATCCTGGTAAATCTCTTCTGAACCCTCTCTCACTTAATACTATCCTTCCTATAACTGGGTGACCAGACCTGGACACAGTACCCCTGTAAACTGTGCTAAACACCTTTATAACCACCCTGTCTACCTGTGACACAAACTTCAAAGAATTATGTACCTGAACCCTTAGGTCTCTCTGTTCTACCACACTACCATCAGATGGACAGTAATATCCAGGCTTCATCTGAAAAGTGGCAAATTCCTATCAATCAAGTCTCAGGCTATGCCCATCTCCAATAAAAACAATTCTAACCACTGCCCCTTGACATTCAATGGTGTTCCCATCACTGAATCCCCCCACTATCAACATCCTGGGGGTTACCATTGACCAGAAACTCAACTGGACCCACCACATTAACACAGCGGCTACAAGAGCAGGTCAGAGGCTGGGAATCCTGTAGTGAGTAACTCCCCTCCTGACACCCCCCAAAGCCTGTCCCACCATCGACAAGGCACAAGTCAGGAGTGGGATGGAATACTCCCCACTTGCCCCTGGATGGGGGCAGCTCCAACAACACTCAAGAAGCTCGACACCATCCAGGACAAAGCAGCCCCCGCTTGATCGGTACCACATCCACAAACATCCCACTCCCTCCCCCACCGACGCTCAGTAGCAGCAGTGTGTACCATCTACAAGATGCTCTGCAGAGATTTACCAAAGATCCTCAGGCAGCACCTTCCAAACCCACGGCCACTTCCATCCAGAAGGACAAGGGGCAGCAGATATATGGGAACACCAGCCCCCTGCAAGTTCCCCTCCGAGCCACTCCCCATCCTGTCTTGGAAATATATTGGCTGTTCCTTCAGTCTGGGTCAAAATCCTGGAATTCCCTCCCTAAGGGACATTGTGGGTCAACCCACAGCACATGCACTGCAACGGTTCAAGAAGGCAGCTCACCCCCACCTTCTCAAGGGGGGCAACTAGGGACGGGGCAATAAATGCTGGACCCAGCCAGAAAGGTCTACAAATCCTAAATGAATGGCCTTACCAGTGAGTTGTAAAGTTTCCTGTTCTCC